AAAAAAACGCGGAGCTCAGTGCTTAGGTATGCAGCACACCGACGAAAAACGAGACTGCAAACAGACTTTCCGATCTTGGCCTAAGATATTACTACTCTCTATGGATATTGGCCAATGTAAACCATTATCCTTGTTAACTGCATCCAAAACGACAGTTTACGGAGAAAATAGGCCCTCGACCAGGACCTGCTTGCAGAGTGAGCCCCTATTTCTCAACGTCCTCCTCCAGGCACGTACCTGCCGTCTAATGCAAGTAATACAAGATGCCGCGGCGACATCGATTCAAATTAACTTGTTTAAACGAAGCTATTGGGAGAGGTAACTAGCAACTGGCCATCCCCTCACGCAAGCAACCAATGGCCCAGCCCAGAACTTCCATCCTGAAGATCCTTTGATCTATCATGCCGGCAACATGCCACCGTGCCATCCCTCTTTACTCAGTTCGACACTACAACACGGACAAACTGTATATCCATTCTATCCGGCCTCGCGGCTGAATCTCCACGTTCATTTACTTCAAGCCTTGCAACATCCCAGAAATCAAGAAGTTCTCGTAGACCAATCCTCTCATTCGTCGTGCTTAAGGCGATTCTGCACCATATTTCTTCGGTTAAAGCTGCAGCTGCAGCTTACAAGCTTTCATGAAATCACTCTACCGGTTGATTAGTCATCAGAACCAACCACAGTAGCTCATCAGCAGACACTACTTGAACAAGAGAAACAACTAGTTGGATGAAATTCTAAATGAAACTGCCAAAGCTCATCCTCTCTCTCATTCATGTCTATGAAAAATCGCCTCTCAAATTTTGAAGATTAGAAGATACTGTTGGGGGAAAAAAATGAATTGCTAAATTTTTAAAATATAATTTTAATATTTTTTTATAGCATTAAATAATTAGATATTAAAATATATTTAAAAAACTTAGTTAAAGTCAATTTAATAATTTTATAATTTTTTATTAAAATATAATATATAGATTAAAAATATATAAAATATGAATAAATATAAAATATTTAAAAAAGTTTATTTAAATATTAAAATATTAACTTAATTAAAAAAAATTAATTTGTATAAAAACTTTAAAAATTAAAAATTAAATTTTAATTATAAAAACTATTAATATTATTGATTAATTTATTAAGTTTTTAATAATTTTTTAAGATAAATATTTTTAAATTATTTAATTTAAAGTTAAAAAAATATTAAATTAAATTTATATTAATTTTAAAAATAAATAAATTTTTAATAAATTAATAATTAATTTATATAAAAAAAATTTAAAATTATATTATTATTATTATATAAATAATATATATTATCTTTTTATTAATATATATTTTATATATTATAATTATTAAATTTTTTTTATTTTTTTTATAAAGTTTTACTAGTAAATTTTTATTAAAAATCTAAATTATATAAATAATTTAATTTTAAAAAAAATTATTTAAAATTATTTATAAATATTTTAAAGATTTTAAATAAAAATATATAATAAATAAAAAATAATTAAATTAATATTTTAAAAATTAAATTTAAATAATTTTAAACTTTTTATATATATATAAATTTTTTATAATAGTTAAAATTTAATAAAATATTTAAACTGAAGTTAAAAAGTTTTTTTATATAATTAAAATTAATAAAAATATTAAAAAATTTAATAAAATTATTGATTAATTTTTATTTTAAAAATTTTTATTTTTTATATTAATAAAATTAATTATTAAATTTATTAATATATTAACTAAAGTTTCAATAATATTATTTTTTAATATTATTATTATAAATAAATTAAATATAAAAAATTATAAAATATAAAATATTATTTTAAAATTTAAATATAATTAAAATATTTAATTTAAATATTTATATTTTTTATATAATTTTTTATTTAAATAATTTATAAATTATTTTAATTAATAAAAATTATATAAAAAATATATAATTTTTAATTTAATAATTAAATTTTAATAATTATCTTTAATTTTAATATGATATTCATTAGCTTTATTATGATGTAAAAACTATAACTCTTATGAATATAAAAAAAACAAATGTTTTGTATCTAGTTAATTTATTTTAATTTGAATAATTGTTGTTAAGTGTTGAAAATCTAAATTATAATTTATTTAACTGAACATGTTACGATTTGATCACCTGCTCAAAGATGCGACTTATCTGATCAGTGAAAATTATATTATAATACGGAATAAAATCTGATAAAGCTTCATAGATCACCATTCTAAAAGTGAATGAATTATTTTCAGGCTAATTAAGTTTATGGAACTATGCAATGTACATATCTATTATAATTACTAGTGCTCTTGATTAGACAATATCTTTCTCTGCTGTAAACATATTGCTGCTCTCATTCAACAGTTAGTCAAGCTCATTCATACAGCTTCCTGACATCGCCGTTCTACGTAGAGACACACGGTGCAATGGTACAGCGGGCCATTAAGTAAATGACATGGAATAGGCTATGAAATTTCAAATACATGTGCAGCTTCATGAATTGAGCCTGTTTCTTGGTTTTAAAAGACTGAAATTGCCAAGTTGAATTCTTCCCTCTTCTTTATCTTTATAGAGTTTCTTGCTTTTTTGTTTTGCGAATTCGAGTGGGTGGATGAGGAAGTTTAAGATAATTTATTTACTTTTGATGGTTCGCTCAGTGGAGAAATAAATTAAATTAGTTAAACTCAGCTAAGTCAGTTAAAACTAGTTAGTTAACTAAGTTAAATTATGAAGGATTATAAATCAACCGAGTTACTCTATTGAATTAACTTTCCTTGATCCCATGTTTCTATTTGAATATCGTTTGTGTGGCATTTGTTGGAATGACGTGATAATAATTCTACCAAAGAGCTTCAGGAACGATCGATCTGGGAACAGGGCGAAATCATAGGCACGTGATCCAGCGGAACACCGGCCCCAACCAGAAAAGTGAAAAGCCCTTCTGGATGGAGCATTCGCTCCTCTCGTAATTGGTAATGTTGCCGCTCGTAGTCAGCTTGTTTCTATGAATTTGACCCAATGATGAAACAATGACCAACAGGGCACCGTTTGCTGAGGACATCATTTTTGTGATGACAAAGCTCCCATCAATAGTTAATACATCCATATGTAGTCTTAAATGATAGGCCGCTGGGCGAAGTCGCTTTTTAGGGTGACATAAAATGCTTCTAAGAGGGGGGCGGTAACTCGGGATTTCCGGAGAGCGGAACGACGATTAATGAAACAGCTTGGCGGAGTGGTGAGGGTGGCTCTGTTCTGCACCCTTGCTTCTATGCCTGTCAATTACGTGAGAGGATGGAAGAGGAGACGGAGCATGGTCTTTCAAATATGATATTATAAGTGAGATTAAATCTTCTATAGTTAAACTAGAGTCAAACCCTGTAGCTGCTAGGCAAGGCCTACATATGATGCTGTCAAGATTCATCCAATCCTCTTGTCAAATACGTGGGATGAAAGGGTGTAAATAGTGATGATGTTTTCATGATCTTCGGAAGACGAGAGTTCCACTCTGTCAACGTTGAATTCAGGAATGATTTGGAATTTGTCACTTTTGTGTCTCTTTTGGTAAATTCATTCAATTTTCTTCAAGCATTGAGCAGCTTTGAGCTGGAGTTAAGCTTCTGCAGAATGTTGATGAAGATAATAAAAGTATAGAATGTAACAATGAAGATTTCCTAAGATCAATTTCTATACATCTGCATCATGATCAATAATGAGTTATCCTTAAAAAGTTCATGGGAATGGAGAGTAACAATATAGGAATGAAGGTATATATATCAACTCCTTAAAATTGTGACACATTATCACCGTGATGTTGTTGTGCTTGTGTGGTCAAGACTGTTTGTTTCAAGATGAAGCATGCTGCTGATTGATCAAACAAACCAAAATGCAAGAAATCTCAGTCACTGCATGGAAATTCTAAGACTAGCATTTTGTGATGTGAAGAATGTATTCTTTGATGTGTTCAAATCTTAATCAATTATTAAAGATGCAGCTTTGACGGACATAACTAGAAATATATTCTCTGGTCACCTTCATTATCTCTGAAGGTTTTTGAAAACATGGGAGAAACTCCAATGAAACATGCCAAACTCAATGATGAAAACAAGGCTATGCCGCAGCAACTTTAACTGAAACAATAATCAACCCTGATTGGTAGGACTCAGAGGTGGCAAAATTAGACGTGCCTAATGTTTGTTTCCATTGTGGCTCCTTAGGGGGGCAAAGGACCCCATAACCCGAGCCTTATCGGGCACCCGGAGACTCATTCCCTATCCCATGGGACGGGCCAAGTTTAACGGGGATCACACGACACCAACTAAATGAGGCCCACTTCTGCGCCCGTGTGGAAAGCTTGCTGCACCCCACCAACCTACAAGAATAATGAGCAGTCAGTCCATGGGTACCTTTCACAGAATCACAGCCCCCGGCCCCCACAGCTAAAAAAAGAAAAGCGAAACTGGGGATTGTAGCATTATGAGTGAGCTCTCAAGAAGAGGCCGGCATCCTATATATTCGGCGGATGTAATTGTTTAAATGTGCCTGATAATTGTTTTGCTGCTGCTTCTCCGCCGTTGATACCTCCCGAGACGTGCGTACTTCCACTCGCCCGGTTAGCTTCTGCTTCGAGGATACTACCCTGTGATTTGTTGGTTTTATTTCCCTTCTTCATTCTCATTTCTTCATTTCGACTTCTCTCATTGCTCATTCCTCCCGCTCTAGCTAGCTATTTCTGTTACATAGCATTCAAAACCCGCCACAAGTTAAGCCACACTACATTATCACAAAAGGCATACACTATATATAGCCTTTGTACGTTATAACTGTTCCTGCGCATATATCATTTCACATTTCTTGAGCTGTTATATAAGTTTCTGTTTCACCTCTCCAAATATCTGCTATTTCGCCCTCCTTTCCTGGCCTCACTGACTCTATTTCAGACCCGGTTGTCTTGACACGATTTTCTTTTTTTCCTTTCGACATGAAGCCTACATTTTCTATCCTCGCCTGTTCGCTGGGCTTTGCCCTCCGTGCGACTGCGCAAGTTATGATGGAAGCCGTCACTACTGAAAACAACCCTATGAATGCTATGTACCAGATGAAGCTGATGGACAGAAATGACACCACTGTTCGCGGAATTGTCAATATTACTAGTGGCCCAGGCGGCTTAGGCGTGATGTACAGCTGCAGATTTTGGGGTTTCCCAAACGAGACAGAAAATGGACCCTTCCGTGAGCGACAATCCCCTTCCCTCAAATATCATTTCTTTGTCTACAATATCCTAACCGGAGATTAGCGTGGCACGTCCATGATCAACCTGTCAGTTCCGACGGTAACTGCAACAGCACCCTTGCCCATCTCGATCTAATAGATCGTGGCGAATTTCCACCCTGCAACGCGAGCAATCCCAAGACGTGCCAGGAGGGTGATATGAGTGGCAAGTACGGCAACATTACGAACGCGTCCGGCGGGAACGTCTATGAAGTGACTTTTATCGATAATTTCACCTCCCTCACAGATGGCTTGGGTGCATTCGTCGGCAATCGATCTATGGTCGTCCATTACAGGAATTCGAGCCGTATCAACTGCGGCAACATTACGCTAGCCAGCATAAATGGTACTGCTGTCCCCACGCCAAGTGCATCACAACGACCCTCCCAAGGCCCTGCAAATCGTGTTGGTGCCTTCGGTCTTGGCGTGATGCTGGCCGGTGTCGCTGCGATGATATGGTAAAGAGCTATGTTGGGAGATTTTATGCAATGTTTGGGATAAGCTTCGATGAGTATGATTATAAAAAGGGCCGGTTTTGTACACTTCGGAATTTGGTTTTCGATATCGTTTCTCCACCCTCAACTTTTGGGCTTATCACTTTTTGTCTTTGGTCACATTTTATGCTAATTTCACAAGATTTCACCTGGGTGGAATCTCAGGGGATATACTCCATGTATACTTATTAGTCTCATCCGTCCCCTGCATTGCACTGAACTTGTTTGATTGGATTTGTCTGTCTGTCTGTCCTTTACTTGATGCTCAACAATATTCGATTCTCCTTATTCTTTTATTTCCTTTTCTTTTTTTTTTTTCGCCTTTAAGCTTGTTTCCTATTTTTATACGTAAATAGTTTCAGTTAGTAACGGTTGATGAAAAGTTAATTTTTTTAACCTTGGGTTGGTCGTGGCGGGTTCTGGAGCCGATTTTCATGTAGGGTGGTAATTTAGATATCCCCCAGGCCTCAGGAAACATACGCGCGAGAACTGAAGCTTCCGTTTCCTTCGTTTTCTCGTCGTTTCGATGGATAATTGGCCCTTCTTTCCGGGTCGAAATCATTGGTCTATTTGCTCTTCGTCTTTACCACACAGCTCATATTCACATCCATGGCTCATGTTGGATGGTTTTTGGGACATGATCGAGTCAGCGGCAGCTGCATTGACTACCTAGGTACCCTAGATAGGTATTTAACTCCTCAATAAATTCGCCTTTTGAAGTCATCCGTGGATGTCCTGGCTGTTGAATCCGGTTTTCCAACCAAGATATCGCACGTTTTGGAAATCTCAGCTAGCACATAGATGTGACGATGTCTTGTAATTTTCCAGTGGCAATCCCCGCCCGTTGTGTGTAAGCTACTAGCTGCCTGAGTGAGGATTTTTATCTATGCTCACTTCTTTCATTTAACTGATCCTTTCTTTCAGGCACGTCAATCAATGCGTGACTCGCACGAGCAAATGGACAAAACGTCTCATATGAAAGGGTAGTTATTTGGAAGCCCTTGAAATAATGGTACCAGTAAATAGCTTTCGCTGTTACCTAGGGAGAGGTAAAATCTGTATTAGGATTTGTCATTTCGAGCTTCAATCCAACAAGGAGAAGGAAACTTGATATCCTATTGAAGAGGAAGATGTGCTGAACTACGGAGGTATATATTCAAGCTGTTACAACTATGGTTTAACAACTCGGATAAATTACTATGTTCTTTATATGGGAGACCGGCCAGCGAGAAACCTGAGGCGGAAGTTCCCAAGGGCCGGGGAATTGGTTGGAAGATCATGGAAAGAGGTAGCAAGTAGGTTACAACAACACAGTTTTCCGAAATCCATCCATCCTGCTGCTCTCATTTCCGTGTTCGGATATATTGTTGGATGACTTTAGGCTCAAAGGCCCCAAACAGTCGTCGAATACTTGTTCACATGGCAATTGCTAAAACCGAGTCTATTTCTTTTTGTGTGCGCTCGTCATGTACTTATGCATATGTTATGCATATGTGCGTATCTGCGTAGTTCAAGGGTTGAATGGATGGAAGGTCGGCCAACACCTTTCTTGCTCTGGACCCTAATCCCGTTTCCAACCTTTGACCTGTACAGACCACTTAAAATTGTGATAAATGAGAAGAAAGGGGTGGGGGAAATCAAATCAAATCACCGTATCCTTTCCTTCCATCCGCTCCAAACACTGCAATAACTACAGCTTGTCACCATTGACATTTGTCTCCATCACGCCTATGACTAGGCATATCCCATGCCAGCCTTGACGCCCATTGCTACTTCTTGGACATGTTGCTAGATATCTATAGCTTCTAGGATATGAAGCAAACCTATTGTTGGAATGTGCCTAAGGTCAACCAGCACCAATTTTGTCCTTCTTGTACCAATGGCGCGAGAAATTTCAGCTGCATCGTTATTTGTTTTATTATCTTCCGCCACTCATGGGAATTGGGTTTCGATCGCTCGGTTGTTTACTCCATGCTTTTCCACTTCCAGATGAAAACGACTGACTGGCTAACTTTAATGAATAGAGGAACCGTGCAGATGCTAAGATACTATTATTTGGGCGGCTCCGGGAATTTCAACAAGGGCCTTTTGACATTGTGAATTCATCTCATGTTACACGACCTCGTTTAGAATTCAAAAGATTTTGAAATACAGAGCAGAAATTCTTTAATTCCCCAAAACTGTCCAAGGTATATATATTGTAGACTTTAAGATAGATTACTCCCTAGCGCGAAGTCATGTCGCCTCTCACAAGATGTCCGTATTTGTATTTCTCGACACTGCTCAAGTTCCACGAGGTTTAGTTAGCCCATCGCCTGTGAAAATGGCTCGAAATATTCAAGCGTTTCGCCATGGCTTAGATCCATCTCCAGCGGGTTATGTAAAAGTTCACACATATAGTTAGCTAATCTCACAAGGAAGCTCAGCTCACCTACAAGCATTCTGCTGGTTATTTCCATCCTTCAAAACTCTGTTCAATCTCATTGCACAATTTTGCTGTCTCAGGGTTGCGTTCCACAAAGTAATTAATAAGGGAGATTGGGTGATAAACTTTCCCCCTCGATGAAGTGTACTAGATAGATAGAAAACCGATATTATCGGCTCATCAGCTCAGTATGCATATGAAACATTACACCACATCCCAGGAATTCGCAGTTAATAGAACTGGCAATTCTTGGTTTTCGTGCACAGAAGTGGGGTAGAATTTGCGAGTCCAGAGTAATGCCGGCCCCTCCATCGCGGGTTATCACAAGATTCAGGATACCTTTCTGAAGTTAAACAATATTAGATTTCAAGCTCTCCTCCCGTTTTGTTCGCCAGAACAAGCTATTGTCCGTTTTCGCTGCCTAGAATCGAGATCTCGAAGCTACCTGATAGAGGACATTGAAACAAACCGTTGCATTAGTCATTAAAATTGAAATTCATGAGGTTATCTATCAGCTATACAGGAACTAACAAAAGGGTAAGAGACAAGGCAAGACCTTTGGGTATAACTCAGTCATTGAAGACAGAATAAAATTGCCAGTTCTGCGAATCTAACAACACCGGTTCGTTCAAAAATATGTGTCCGATATACTAAATCCCATTTCATGAAAATATTCGTTTGTGCTTTTCACATGCGGAAAGACTCTGACGAATCGTGTTGTTAAAACGTTCGTGAGTTGTAAAACTAAACAAAAAAATATCTTGAGACTACAGTCATAGCGTCATGGGTAGTCATTCCTGGAACAGAAACGAAAATACATAAACGACGTCATGATGACCCAGCACCCTATATAACGGAGGAAAAAAGCAGGGAAAAAAAATGGCCCAAAATGGACCCTGTCTGAATTTGTAGATTAATAGAATATAGACCACAAACAATCTGGTCAGTTAATGTATGACATAAGCTATGCCTCTTGTGCCCATCGTTGCTCTCGCAGGGGCATTTCTCCTCCTGCTAGGGCTCGGGTTCCTTCAACCTCATGACGCCAAGCCCAATATTCGCCCAGGCGCAACTCTGCATAAGAAGCATAGTCGAAATCGATTTGTGAGATCGTCGCTTGAATCAATGCCCAGACACCCCTGTAAGGTTCATGATTAGCCATGGAACTCCAATTTCGAACCAGACTATCATATATTATCCCTACCAATAGAATCCAGGAATTCCGCGGAATCGATCAACATCGTTGAAGAGTTTCTCAACGACCTCTTCTTGATTGACTTTAGGCAAGTTCGAATGTTCGTGGTAGCTCTTAACATATTCAGTCAGGAATTCCCTTCGTACAGAACGCGTTGGTATCCTATTGAAATCACAGTCGTATCCGGCCCATTCTGCGAAATGGTTTGCGATGTCGAATGCCGCGGGCGACGGTGTTGCATATTCATAGTCGATAAAACTCACGGTTTCGTCTCCATTGGCATCTTCAAGGGTCGATTTGGCGGGATTCGGTAGGACGATGACATTTGCACTCAATAGGTCACAGTGAGCAAATACAAACTACACCCCAGAATTAGCAATTGTAGAATCAAATCTTAGAAGAGGCTATGGGTCAAAAATACCCCTCCCTTGCCAAGTCCTTCTCCGTCATCAAATTCAGCAACTATTCTTTCAAATTCCTTATGGAGCTTTGTCCGGCGAACACGCTCCTGCTCTGTAGTCACAGGTAAGGCTATGATCCATTTCTGCAGAACGGTCCAGATACTGGTTCCTTCATGTTGGGTTTTAACAGGTATTATATCGTCCACTTGAGCAGGCAATTTCGATACGTTTGTAGGCACATCTAAAGAACCTGACTCTTCTGGGTTATCTTGGTTCAAAGTCGCTGGCGCTGTTTCATCAACTGGCAGGACTGCGTGCCACTGCGCGAGTCGCCGTGCAATAGCCCTGAACACACAAGGCTGGACGAGGTCATTTGGAGAAGTTACCCTCCCACGAATAAAACGGTATAGCAGTCCATTTTTAAATCTAGCAAGGAGAGGAGGGGCCAGACCTCGCGCAGCAAGTAAGGCATGGGATCTAGTTTCTCCTGTTGGTGGCATTGTAATCAGTGTAAGTTTCTCATTGCTAAGTGGCAGGACGACATACTATCACGGTCTATTATTATTTCTGTGTGGTTTCCGTAAGCTCTCATCAAGATTGCCTCGTTGTCGATTTGTTCATCTGACAGGCCTGGTGCTCTTTTAATGATTTTCAATAGCTACGTCACAATATCAGGCCTAAGCACGGTGTTTCCCCTCCCTTGTTTAAATAGGGACGGGTTACATACGGTATTGGTTATCCCATCCGTAAATCTGATAAATTCAATATTGCCATCCGAGTGTTCCCAGTCCGGGTTTACTGTCAACACAAGCCTCAGAGCAGAGGCTTGGGAGTCAGCTTGATTGTATGATAACGGGATATAGGTAAGAGACGCAATTCCGCCGTTTTGTGCGTTGTTGGAACCCATTAGGAAGACGTGTTTGTTTGTAGCTAATGTTTGGCAGACCATTTAATGAAGAAAAAGGAGTATATCAAAGAGGGTGAATTTTAAAGAATCTGCAGACAGGGAACACAGTCAGTTTTAGTCAATTTCAGCCAATTTCAGTCCTACAAATTCTCAATAGGAGTCGCCCGCTATCAGTCAATAAAAGAGGGCCCAGAGGCCATCAAGAACCATTCGAAACAGTTACAACTGCGCTACCAGAATCACTGTTGCTGGAAGAGTGGAGACACGACGAACGGCTTGGCCCATAGATTTCAAGACAGACCGAAAGTAGACACTTTTCTGACATGGAGGATACATACCGTGGGGTATAGGAATGCTTTGGATGCAGGTGTTGAGCAGATGGAGTCGAAAGGAGTGCAATTGGGATGCGGTGAACTAGTTGGCGAAGGCAATTGGTCTCGTGCTCAAAACGAAGGGGAAAAAGTGACAATGCTGCATCGCTGGCCCCCTAAGTATTACGCTGCCAGATTGCACTGGAGAGTACCTGCGGAACAAAGATCTTCCCTAGGTGCCCTTCACGTGGAATTCAACAAAATAAGGTTGGAACCTTGGCATGTCCTCATTCCGAGTTTGCCGCTAGCCTAGTTCAGCCTAGCCTGCAGGAACAATCTCTGATCCGACGGGGATATCCCATGGACCCCTTCCATTGCACATGTTTTGACTTGCGACTTAATGTTGACTATTAATAGAGTTATCCATCCGGTGTTCTCAAATGCGATATATGCATTGGCTATGTTTTCCACTCCGAATTATAAGTGACGACGTAACATCAACGATAGTAATAATCTGGCTACATAAGTTGCAATCTGTTTTGGAAGCTGCATTGTGGAACAATTTACTCCGGAGGTTAGAAAGCTCCGAACAGCGAAAGGGGAAAAGCTGGATTTTGAGTTGTCAATGATCGCAAAGTCTTTCTCCAACACCGTGTGCAACCTCTCCAATTTGCGGAATGGGCCTTCAAAACTAGAGATGACAACCAATTCAACGTCCTCCCCTCTCTGTGGCCAAAGCTATCTCTTGGGCTGACGGGCAATATATCTTTCTCAAGAGGGCAATGAACAGTGGAGCTGTCTATATATCGACAAGCTTTGGTGACCTCGGGAGGTGGGTACATGCAAACCAGAGTTGATACCACTCTCGCTTGATAGATGTTTTTCTCTGGGGCAGTAGTAGGAAACCCCTGGATTAAAAAACCATATGATTGGAGCAGGCGAGATAAATAAAACAGGGACATCATAGGAACCATTTTGTAACCAATACTTTTCTATAGCGCCTTAGACTAAGGCTTTTTCCCTTCCAAACATGTAATTCCAAGGCTGAGCAAAAGAAGATCTTTATCTATCCGAACATTTGGACCGAAAATCACCGTGGACTGGGAATATCTTGGGATCAGTTCAAGTCTTAGAGGGGTCAATCTGTCCCAAAACAGCCTAGACTTAGGGCTTGTCTAGGGACAAACCCAGCCTAATCCCAAAGTGCTCTACTCCACCACGTGACTCCCCACCTTGCTCAATGACCTATAAAAGCCCAACCTCATTTCGATACTTTTTTCTTACCTTTTTTTTTTTATTCTTTCTTCTCCATCATCAGTAGAGGTTTACATAACCATGTAAATTTCAAACCGGAGCTCCGCTGCATGCGGCTTGCTGAGGGTCATCCGTCCTTACACCACTTTATTTGTGCGCTGTTTTGAGAGAAATGGGTTTCCTTCCGTTCCCGGCCCCGGAGACGAATTTGCGTCGTCCTTTTTCCCAAATTTACTATTATGGCTGGGCTTATTTCCTGTGGGCTTTAGCTGTGGAGGAGGCGTGACACATCATCGCTACCTGTTTCTCTTGTTATGTTGTCTTGATGTTCTTATAGGAAATGGTTGGCTGGCATTCTGTCGAATTTTTTAAGGAATCTCCGGGCTTGAATGTATGGGCTGCTTGAAATATGGAATAATAATAGCCGGACCTCAGGAGCAGGAGCGATTTAGAACGAACGGAATGGAACTATTAATTGATTACTTCTCACAATTCTGCATGTTAATGTGTACTTACAACCACCCCTGTACCAATTAATGGCGCTGTCTGGCATATTTATCCAACACACTTCGACAAAGGAACCATGCGCAGCTGGACACTTTGGAAATCAACAATATGGAGAAGTATGTCATCTCGATGGAAGGACAATGCGGAAATGAGGAGATCCATCCATTCCAGGTACCCCCAAACTCCTAATCCAACATAAAACATAGAGTATATACTCATGATTATTCGCCGTCATATCCGTTCCGTTATATCATCATCTAAATCGTCTCACATAGATCCAATTACCCTACCCAACCTGCTTCAAGCCTTCTTAGCGCGACCAATCTGAATAATTTCCCCTGTATGTTTATCATCCTTCCGCAGGACGGGCCAGCTCGTCCCGTCTGCCTTTACCAAGTTCAGATCCATCTTCGTACCCATTATTTGAAAACTAGATTTCTCGACATCGACGGGCGCGTAGAGGTTGAAGGATTCTTTGAAGCGCTTATTATCAGAGGTTGGGAGGTCCAATTCTATTGTGGTGGGTGATGAAAAGTTGACTTTGGCAGCGGCTTTGTCAATCTTCTTGAGGTACAGGGTGGCCATGATAGTGGTGGCAGTCTGGTAGAAATCGGTTCTGAGTATTTCCAGAAAAAGCACCAAGTTAGCAAGCAGAAAATTCTTTTTCTGTGCTGTGTAGAATACTTCGAATGATTTGCTGGTTGAAACTGCATTGGAAACAATGATCGAAGCAAAGGAACCCACCGGATATTATCAACTTTCTCCTCTCCCGCTTGCTTCCCCTTCCCTATAAACAAATGTCTCTTCTTCTCTCTACAGCCCGCAATTTTCATAAACTCATCAAACTCCAGCACTCTACGCTTGCAGCAGCTCCACCCCTTACTACCTTCATGGAAAATGGGCTGGCCAGGGTGATGTATGCATTTCTCATCATCCCGTGATGAAGAAAGCGAGTGGCTCGCATTACAACCCCTGCGACGACATGTCGCTCCTGCATTGATAGCAACGGATGGGTCATCGGATTCTGATTCTGGTGGTGGGGACGTAGTTGGTGTAGGGGTACGCGCTGCGGCACCGGATAGGGTGGTGGGAACGTTTCCAATTGCGATAGGTGTGGGTTTTTCTGTTGAACTGGGTTCTTCTATCCGGGGCACCTCCCTTGCTGATTCTGATTCCGGGGCAGGGGTGTCTACCATCGAGTGTTTCCCCGTTGTGCATGGTGGGATGGAGAGGAATTCTTCGAACGTGAGAACGCGGGGTTTGCAGCACTTCCATCCTGTTGTGGCGAAGCTCTGTCAGCTAACTCCCTTGGTTTGCGAGTGCCTTCTTCCCCCGGGTCATTTCTGCAGCTACTGGAGCCAGGAGACGCAATTCCAGATCAACAAGCCACTTTGCACTGACCTTTTTGGCCTTCGTGAAATTCGGGAGGGCCTGGGTGGTAGACACATGGTTCGTCGGGGTCAGTGAACAGTTTGCCGCAGCCCTTGTGTACACACTTTTGTGCCATAATTGTGTCTGTGATATACTAGCAAACAGATCACCGGTTTGTACTAGGATTAGTTGATAATCGTTGGTTTATTTTCCAGACTGAGATGTGGTGGGATAACTAGTTACAACTAACTTGCGAATGTTCTTATATTTTACACCATTATCCCCGCGGAGGTTATTTTTTTTTTTAGCGTGCAATTTTCACCCCAAAGCATCGAAGCTTCTGGAGCAGACGAAGAAAACAAAAACAAACCCAGTTCCAAGCACAACTACTTTTATTTAATTCAACCATTTTCCCATATCAACAGCTCGAGAATCCAGATTTTCTATAAGTTCTCTCCGTCGAAAACTTATGCATGCACACACCAATTTCTAATATTTCGTGACATAAGCTCTTCGAACACAACAGCTCCGCATGATGCGTCCTACGAGCCGCCTGCTCCAAAATACCCGAATCACTCTCTTTACACGCGTCAATTGCTCTCTTTGTGATACGGCGAAGAACACTATAGCGAAGCTAGCGGATAAGAAACCATTTCTATATTCAGAAATTGATGTTATGGCCCCACAGAATAAAACGTGGAAGGACGTTTACGAATTTGATGTACCCGTTCTTCATGTCCAACGGGTTTTGTCCAAGGTCAACGATGACCGCAAAACGCTCTCCAATCCGAAAAAGCTATTCCATCGATTTACAGAGGAGGAGATCGAAAAGGCAATGAAGGAAGTTGCAGAATCGATATGATTCCCGAATGCATGACTATATAACTATATTGGTGGGGACTCTATTCTTGCATGCGGTGCTACATGACTTCGTCACGGGAAGATATCTTCCGCCTCACAAGCCATCTCGAGCGGTTTTTAATGAGCTTGTCAAATGTGTAGAAAGAGCAGTGACGTCGGCAATCACGGAAATCTGGATAAAAATGTTAGCATGGTATTAAATGGGGTAGAGAGACACCGAGGGGAGGATATGATATTACCATCTGGAAACCTTGCTCCGCATATTTCTTTGCGGACTCCCCAGATACACAAAAAATACCAGCCCTTTTGCCGTTTTCGATAGCCGCCTTACGAATCCTCTCAATTGCAGCGACCAGATCGGGATGAAAATCACCTGTAACGGGTCTGCCAATATTGTTTCCCAGGTCCCATGGACCGACCAGTAGCACGTCAACCCCTGGCACCTTTGCAATCTCTTCAACCTACTTGTTCTAGTTAGCTATCAGCTCCCCAGTGCTGGGAGAAAGGGATAAAGAAGTGATGTTATTTGCAACAACAAGTCGCACATTTTCAAAAGCCTCCTTAGTTTCTATTTGAACAATTGTAAGCAAAGCGTCGTTCGCCTGAAACAAATAGTCTGTCTGGGATATAGATCCAAACGAGTTCATAGAAAAGGGACTTCCAAAACCCCTTTTGCCCACGGGAGGGAACTTGGCTGATTCAACCAGCGCCTTCGCGTCTTCTACCGTGTAAAGGAGGGGTACGATAATCCCATGAGCTCCCGCATCCAATGCACCTATATTTCGAATTAATATAAACAAAAGCCGCTAGTAGAAACTGGTTTACGAAACCCCCCATGGGGGAATCACGTACGCTTAACCATCCATGACTCGTTGGCAGCAATCCGTACGACAGGACTGACACCCGTCGCGGCAATTGCAGCAACAGATTCGTGCATTTGGGCATCTATAATAGCAAATAACTCATCATCAGCCGAATTCAGCAGCATATACCCAACCCCATCTCTGAAGAAACATTTAACTGTATCACATATTGCGAGGATCCCCTCAAGTTCCATTGTTTTCTTTTTTAATCGATTTTTTACCTGCAATATTCCCGTGCTCTGTATCAATGCAAATCCAATCAAAGCCACTCCTAGCCATTATCTGCGCATGGTTGATGCCAGGGAGCATCTGCCATGCGCCGAACGACACCCCCTGGCCCGTTCGAAGGGCTGTCTGGAGACGATTGGCAACTTGCATTATTTTTGACTATGGGGCAATATGCTTTCGCAATTGTCGCGGGAAGCAGGAACAGTTTTATATGTATATTGAAAGGGACAACCACCAGATTATTTAAATGAAATGGGGGTTAATGGTCAATTGAGTCATATTTATACCGAAATGTATTTATCGAGATTGATGGTGGAGTGACTAGATACGCTTGAAAAACCTGCTTAACTCCCAACTAGCATTTTCTCTTTTTCATATACAAAAAGAAAAGAAAGAGATGCAGAAAACGTTAAATAAAAAAAGAAAAGGAAAAAGAAAAAATAGTGAAAAAAAATCCATTTCTTCAATTAAATTTACATTTATTTCAATTGCTGTTTATTGTCTTTGGGGTCTCGGGGAGTTCTAAATTCCCCTCGTTGTCGCGCGAGATTTAGTGCGGGGGAGCACAAGTAACCATTGACCAGACATGACAGCCCCCAAAACGGTTGCGACCTCAAAATTCTGCTGTCCGCTTCACGCAATATCAACAAATAATTTCAACCTGGCCTTGGGAACCCTCATGTCTGGTTTTCTTCTTGACGCGCATGCGCGGATGACTGTTTGATTTATCATTGGCCCAACGTCATGCCACCAAAAACCAGATATCGTAGAGCGGTATCTGAGCTACTCTTTGAATATCAATGTGAACAGTGATGCCATGAAACCACGGTGACCTATAGCTATGCCGGTGGCTATTCTTCCCATGTTCCAATTAGTGAGAGACGATCGGCGTGGATTTTGACTTGGCTGACTATTCAAGAATCCCTGGATCTTTTGACAGTTGACGATGCGACTAGAAAACATTTTCGAGACCTGGATATCGAGATTCTCTGGGATTTTCTTCCGCTGTCTGTCCGCTCAGACGGAACAGCCCTTGCTCGATACGAACGGAATGATCGACTCTCGCCCAGGTAGGCCGAACCAGACCCTGCTCTGAGCGCATTGTTTGAAGTGCTGTTTGATGTCTCTTATTTTTAAATCACCAACTGTCCTAGCTAGTCATAGGATCTTGTGAGGGACTTTGGCTGATTTCGGCTGCAAACTCAAACTACTCGACCAACTCATGAAGGCCGGGATTTGCTGTTGCTGACTACGGCCCCCACCCACCCCCGAACCGAGGGACATACAATTTTATGAACAATGTAAGTTGATTGTGCTTTTCCTGGGATGATGCTATGGTTTGGCGATTTGTGGTATCTCTGGCCTCTCACGTAGTGCATACAGGTTGCTATATGTGACAGGAGCATATCTTTTCAATGGAACCTCTCTCTCCACTCTCTCAACTCTCTTGCTGGGCTTCAGCCACCATTTCCCGTATCACTTCCGCCAACTCCCCTTGTATCTTGTCACCTTGTGGTACTGTATGGCCATGTCCGTGGTCAAAAATATTGGCAGTATCAGGGTCGCAGATATTATATAGCGCCATGCAACCATCGATAAAAGGGTCATTGGCACCCAAGACGTGGCATGTGTGGATTTTTATCAATTCGGAGCCCCCATCGGACAGAAGAAGCTTCCCAGTTTTGGGATCAAATGGGGGCCATCCGGATAAAAATACTGCACACTTTATCCCTACTGGCCTGCCAAGTTCCTCATATCTTCGCTGCTCTTCAAGAATTAAACTTGCCCCAATAAGAGCACCCTCTGAATATCCGACAACGCCCTCAATATCACCTTCCTTGTCCATAATTTGGATGATGCGGTCAAGCACAGGCCTCAAGGTATCATGGCGCCGTTCAATGTGTACGAGCAAACGTTTTTCTAGAATCTGCATGCTCTCTTCTGCGACGTCCCGTTTTATGAAATCTCGGAGTGCCCGTAGATCTTCCTCTGCGGCGTCGTTGTCGAAGAATTGGAAATGAGGAGGTGGGCCAAAGTAGTCTTCAAAGCCTGGCGGTGGCCGAGCCGGTATATTTCCTTGTGCGAAATGGAAGCTGGCTGTTCCGTCGGACTCTAAGTTGTCGCAAAGGCTTTCTGAATGTTGAATTCCGTTAGAATTTTCCCGGGTTGCGGAACAACGTCTTTCTACACAGACATACTCAGCTGCACTCGGAATATCTAGATGAAGCGTCATCAATGCCGATCCTTATAGTTTATTACTTCCTAGGGAGCAAAATCGAAGTGGAAAAAAAGCAAAAAGGGAGGAAAACATACATCCGCACTACCAAGTGCTCCTGGAAGGCATAGAAATTTCATGATCACTCGTCAGGGCTGTTTGAGTTTCTAAGAACTCGATCCATGTATAACTTGACGATAAAAATTGACAAGGTGCAACTGGCGAAAAGGAATAAAGACAAGGGGAGGACATGCTTTTACACAGCATGGCGACATGTCTTTTTCACTTGCCTTGTAATGCAATTATTCTGTTTATATAAATGACAAACTACAAGCTTGTACGCCGTGTGGAGCTCAGGTTCGCACCACTGAAGCGATTGGAGCAACCGGCGATCATATGAGTTTCAATCAAGCTGATTGGACACGATACTTAGCACGTTCGTTACTATTGGTTTTGGTGGCGTTGCACATATCAAACCTTCAACACAGACATTGTCTTAGCAAATAGTAACTTACCGTTGAAGAACTCTCAATTATTAGGTACAACATCTAACTCTGGGCCAGATCGATACCGAATATTTGGGCAAAGAAAATGGAACTCGTGTATCGACGCGGGTGTCGCAAATAAGCAACTTTTGGAATAAACAAATTTCTTCGTCATCAGGTTAAGATTTGGTTGAGCGCTGTTCCAGATGGTCCCCGCCTAGGTGATCAGGGGAACCTTGCAGATGAGTGCGGAGAAGCTACCAGTCTAGCTGGTCTCAACGTTTACCAACATCCAACCACAAAAAAGTTCCTCTGCCTCGTCCTGCAGTGCACCCCACGTTTGACTTGAATCATATCACGGAGGACGGTTGATGATGTTGCATATGCACGCGTGCCACCTGGCGTCGAGGCCCTTTGCCATTGAGTCTCTTCAGGCCTTCGTGGAACATGTTTCTACCAGAGCCCAATGGCATGAAGGAGATTTTCATGATGCGATCTGCATCCTACCGGGTGATGGTTTTGATCCTAATTTTGGGAAATGGTAGATATTAATATCGGAACCATACCGACCGCGTACCGTGAAGCTTCCAGCTTTCAGGGATCATTGTTGGCTCAAAGCTAAGCTCTTGTCGGCTGTTCGTGTCGAGCATGCCGTGGTTGATATGACTTCTCATGTTCAGCCGGAGTCCCCTGAACCAAAGTAAATACGGACGTGCAGCAAAAGCTTTCACTTCGTCTAGCATTGATCGACTAACCTGCACAAGCGATACGTTACCGTTGCGGCCCCTCAGATCACTTAAATTACTCCTATTGCAGAAAGAAGGAAACTGACAGACACTGTTCTCGGAAATTTTACTCTTTTGGAGCCTAACAAACAAGTTACTTTGCCTCAACTCAGTTCCCCAAGAAAATTCCATATCCTCGTTCGACAAGAGATTTTTTATCACTACTTTAACTTACAGGATGAATCCAGAAAAAGGGGCGGTTGTGGGCAAGTGTAGTGGGGGCAATTTGATGCCATTGGCTATTGTTGGCATGTCCTGTCGTCTTTCGGGAGATGTCACCAGCCCTGATACTCTCTGGGAGTTGTGCTCTCGTCGGCGAAGTGGTTGGTCCACGATCCCAGAGCATCGATTCAATGCTGCGGCTTTCTACCATCCCAATCCGGATAGAAATGGAGCTTTCAACTTTAATGGCGGCTACTTTCTCAAGGAAGACATCGGTCTCTTTGATGCGCCATTCTTTAATCTCACCAAGCACGAGGCAGAGTCCATTGACCCACAGCAACGTCTGATGCTTGAATGCACCTACGAGGCGCTTGAGAATGGAGGTATTACATTGGAATCACTGGCTGATGATCAGGTGGGCGTCTTCGTTGGCGCATCGATCTCGGATTACGATTTGAACAATTACAAGGATAGCGAAAACATTTCACGGTACAACGCAACCGGATGCGCGTTGTCACTTCAATCCAACAGAATTTCATACTATTTCAACTTCAAAGGTCCAAGTATTACCATTGATACTGCATGCTCGTCTAGCTTGACCGCATTACATGTCGCCTGTCAAAGCCTTAGATCACGGGAATCGACCTGCGCAATTGTCGGCGGTTGCCATCTAAACCTGTTACCGGATGTGTTCATCTCCATGTCTCTCCAAAGGTATTTACCGTCCTGGACATATCGCCGGAGAACTTGACTAACACTTATCCGTAGGCTTTTCTCTAATGCTGGAAAATGTTACCCATTTGATCATAGAGCGCAGAGTGGATTTGGACCTGGAGAGGGTGCAGCGTGTATTGTCCTCAAACCGTTGGATGTTGCGATTGAAGCCGGCGACTCAATAAGGGCTGTAATAGTCAACAGTGGGATAAATCAAGACGGGCGGACCCAGGGAGTTACGATGCCGAATATTGCCGCTCAGGAACAACTTATTAGATCGGTTTATGCGCAAGCTCACATAGACCCTATAGATACCGGATACGTGGAAGCGCATGGGACTGGCACCAAAGTTGGCGACCCGATAGAGGCGAGAGCGCTTCATACTGTTTTCGGCAAAGGAAGGCCGTCGATGAAACCTTTGTTTGTGGGCTCACTTAAATCTAACGTCGGGCATACTGAAGGGGCAAGTGGAGTGGTTTCAGTAATAAAAACGGCAATGATGCTTGAGAAGGGTTTTATTTTACCGAACTGTGATTTCGAGAAACCGAATAATGCTATCCCATTGGAGGAATGGAATTTAAAGGTACATACAAATACTCTTCGAATATTCTTGGTTGCCTGTTTTCTCTTTTCCCACTCCTTGTCGATGCCACGAAACATCCCAGGGATATTCTCCTTATCCATTCCTTTTAGAACCTTTAGTTTCTGTCCTTGCTAATTCGCCTAAAGGTGCCCAAAAGACAAGTGCCATGGCCCCGCGAGAAGACTTACGCCAGCGTCAATAATTTTGGATTTGGAGGATCAAATGCCCATGTCATTCTAAAGAAGGCCCCGCCTCTATCAGAAGTTGCCTGGAAAGCCCGATCCGATCTTGAGACGCCAGCACCAAAACCTTCCCTTCTGCGCAAGGTTTATACTCTGTCCTCACATAACAGGGGGGGCTTATCTCAGCAGATAAAGGCCCTTGAAATATACTTAGAGAAGCATCCAGAAGCTTTCGATCTTCACTTGATGGACAACTTGGCCTACACACTTTGTCAGCGACGAAATCACCTTCCGTGGAGAGTTGCAGTTTCGGCTCCGTCTAGCACACAGCTGATAGAAGTTCTGTCTACAAATATCACACCCAAGCGGTCTGCAGGGGAGCAAGTAATCGGATTTGTTTTTACTGGCCAGGGTGCCCAATGGAATGCCATGGGTAGAGAGCTCCTTGTTGCCTATCCGATATTTAGAGCCACAATGGAAGCGGCAGATCAGTGCCTGGTTAAACTAGGTGCTATGTTTTCCTTGATCGGTATGTACAACTATATATGGATATGTTTCGTTTCTTATCTCTAACTGGTTTCAGATGAGTTATCCAAGGATACTGGTACAAGTTTTATTTATGAAGCATGTTTCAGTCAGCCCTCTTGTACAGCGATTCAGATAGCTTTGACAGAGCTTCTAAGTTCGTGGGGAATACAGCCTGTTTCCGTGGTTGGCCACTCTAGCGGTGAGATTGCTGCGGCGTATGCTGCCGGTATGCTTTCGCTCGAAGATTGCATCACCATTGCCTACACTCGGGGAACCGTAGCAGACCAAATATCGAAGGAATTTCCAGAAGTCAAAGGAGCCATGTTGGCCGTTGGGGCGGGTGCATCGGATATAGGCCCTCTTCTTGACACTCTTCAAGGAGGAAGTGCAGTAATTGCCTGCGTCAATAGTCAAAAGAGTGTTACGGTCTCTGGCGATGAAACGGCAATAAGTGAATTGCAAAGCAAGGTTGACGATCAAGGAATTTTCAATAGAAAACTCCCAGTGAACGTAGCATATCACTCCTATCATATGAGACTAGTTTCGGAAAAATATCGGTCGATGATGGGAAACATCGTCCCCAAATCCGCAGCCATCAAATTCCACTCATCAGTGTTCGGTCACCAAGCCACATATTCCGATCTTACCGGTGATTATTGGGTAGACAACTTCGTATCTCCTGTCGAGTTTGTACGCGGCTTACAAAGCCTCCTGTTGGAAAGTCGAGCTACCTCTGGCAAACAAATAAATATGCTTGTTGAGATTGGACCACACCCAGCACTGAAGGGCCCAATCCGAGATATTCTACAGCATGATTCCCTGGGTGGAGAGATAAAATATCTGCATAGTCTTAAACGCGAACAAGACGCCGTTGAGGCAATGCAGGCACTGGGGACGGAGTTATTCATGAATGGGGCTAAACTCAACTTCAACTCCATCAACTTTCCATCCGACAAAGGAAAGAGACCTGTCTTGCTAACGAATCTGCCGAGTTATCCTTGGAACCACACTACAAAATATTGGCAAACCTCCCGTCTGTCTCAAAATCACTGTCATAAGCCTTTTCCACGAAACGATATTCTTGGCTCACTCTCTGTAGAAAGCGATGATATAGAACCCAGATGGAGAAACGTTCTGCGGGCAGATGACCATCCATGGATTCGACATCATAAAGTTCAAGGAAACAATGTATATCCTATGACTGGTTACCTTGCCATGGTGCTGGAAGCCGCAACCCAGCATTCCATTATGAAAAAGGTAGAGTTCGATCACTTTGTATTTCGGGAAGTGTCTATTGGGCGAGCCCTGATTATTTCGGACACGTCTGCAGTCGAAACTATGACTACTCTAAGACCGTACGCTGAGGGCACTAGAATATCGTCGGATGCTTGGAGTGAATTTCGAGTATTTTCATGGTCGGATACTAAAGGATGGGATGAGCATTGTCGAGGACTTGTGAAGGTTTATAAAATCGGGGGCCCAAACCCCATTGATGGCTCTTATCAGCACAGAGAGAACTCCCTTTATATCAAAGAGCAGGTAGCTGCATTTCACTCCAATTGTGCATCTACCCCTGATGTCCATGAAATGTATGACGCTGTTGCTGCCAATGCTTTGGAGTATGGCCCGTTATTTCAAGCAGCATCGAAAGTTTTCGTCGGTAATCAACAAGCGATATTCGACATATCGGTGACTGACACAAGAGGTTCTATGCCTCAAGAGACTGAAACCGACTTGATCATTCATCCTGCGGCTTTAGATGCGTGTGTGCAAATTGTATGGCCTCTCTTGGGATTTACTAACCCGGGGCCGCATTCCCTTTACCTACCATCCTTCTTAAAATGCCTGTCTGTTCCCTGCTCAACGTCCATGCCAATTGGAGGCCAGTTTCGGGTCTATGGGAGTCGATTGAACTCACTCTCTCATGGCGTTCCAATCAACCACGATATATTTGTTACCTCCGCTGAAAATCCCACCGAAATTCTCTTAAAAATGGAGGGGTTAACGTTAACACCTGTTCATGATGACATAGCGTCTGCGAATGGTGAGCCCAAAGTGTTATGCTATAAGCTTTGCTTAGAGCCCTGCCTAGAGTTTTTGACCACGGAAAATTTGAGATCATTTGATGGGGCTCATAACACGAACCAGAACGAAAAGAGCCATGTTCACATCCTCAATCAGGTTTCGTTTTATTTCCTCGAGAAAGCGTTAAAACAGCTTGACAAAGAGGAATACCGTAGCCTCCGTCAGAAACACGAGCCGTTCTATCAGTGGATACGAACTTTGAACTTACAGACAGAGAATGGAAGAATTAGACTTCATCACTCAGATTGGTCTCAATTCAACGAGGAAAGGTGGTCATTCGTTATTAACATGGCTCGGTGTATGGGGACAGTGGGGAAAGTGACATGTTCCATTGGTGAAAATTTTGTACCGATTTTAAATCGGGGAATAGCCTCAATATCTACCAGTCTTGGTGACGATCTACTGGAACAATTCTACGATGAGCTTAGTCCCCTTAACCGGAATTACGCCAACGCCGCCATTTGTATCGACAAGATGGCTTTCCAGTACCCTGACATGGAAATTCTTGAGATCGGAGCTGGCACAGGGGAAGGATCTTTACGCATACTGCGAATTTTGGGGGGTGGTGACACTGGAAAAATGCGGAGATTCGCCAAATACACGTACACTGCTAAAAGCGCCCATACACTCGTTAAAGCTAAGCCTAAGTTTCAAGCCTGGGGTAGGTTCGTGTCATGTCGAAACTTGAATATTTCGCAAGATCCTTCTGGCCAAGGTTATTTACCAAAATCGTACGATCTAATAATCGCTTGTCATTTATCGGATTCGACAGAATGTTTACATGAAGCCATGGCCAATGTGAATGGACTTCTGAAACCTGGAGGGAAACTGGTTTTGCTCGATTGGACGGCCAGACATTTATATCAGTTCGTTCCCAAATTGCTTTCAGGCTCTTGGTCAACCGAAAGATCAGGTCGTGCGGGTAGTTCTATTCGGAATAAAGACGAGTGGGACAAGCTGTTCCGAGAAACAAAGTTTTCTGGATTAGACCTATCTCTGGACGACTATCCAGAGACCCTTGAGCAGTCCAGTAGTCTGATGCTATCAACCGTCCAAGCATCCGATGAATTATCCGGCAAGGAAATAGCTCTAGTTTACCACGGGGGAGTCAATGACTCTCTCGCACCTGGCCTTATCCGCGAGTTGGAAAATATAACTGGCATCCGCCCCTCCGTTGAAGAACTCTGCCAAGTTAATGCAAAAGGTAGACTATGCATTTTTTTCGGCGAACTATATCAGCCGCTTTTATCCAGCATGACACCGGATCTTCTTTCAGCAATTCAACTTCTAGTATCTAGTGCCAGTGGTATTCTCTGGGTCATTCGTCAAGACCACCTAGTCTCGGGCTCACCTGAATCCAGCATGGCGATCGGGCTAGCCAGAACATTACGCTCAGAAACGGCGATACAACTTGCGACTCTAGAGCTGGAAGGCAATCCCCACTATGGCGAAGCTGACCAAATAATGAAGGTCTTCAGAGCTGTATTTGGTACTGAACCTAGTCTCAGGCAAGGAGATATGGAATATGTGGTTAAAAATAGACTTATTTGTGTTTCGCGCGTTTTTGCAGATCCAGAAACGAACAAATATGTTCACGAAGAGTCACACAGAATCCCCCCTGAACTACAGCCTTTCTATCAAAACAACAGGCGCCTCAAACTAGCGATGGGACATCATGGCACTCTGGACAGTTCTTATTTTACGGATGAGCTCTCAACAACTCAGGTCCCAGCCAATTGGATAGAAATCGAAACTCGATTTATAGGACTAAATTTCAAAGATATTATGATTGCCATGGGTCAACTCCAAAACGGTCATTTAGGGAATGAATGTAGCGGAGTCGTTACCGCGATTGGGGATAAAGTGACGGACTTCAAAGTTGGCGACCGGATTTGTGCCGTCTCTGAGGGAGCTTTTGCCAATTACGCTCGCTTTCCGGCATCAAGCGCCTGGAAGATTCCAGATAAGATGAGTTTTGATGTAGCAGCATCCATTCCAATTGTATTTTGCACAGCGTATTACTCTTTGTTTGATGTTGGTCGTCTGCAACGGGGGGAGCGGATTCTCCTTCATGCCGCCGGAGGAGGGGTAGGCCAAGCGGCCATTATCCTCGCTCAATCGATTGGTGCGGAGATTTATGCAACTGTTGGTAGTGCTGATAAGAAGAAGTTTCTAATGGAAACCTACAACATCGACGAAACAAGAATCTTTTTCAGTCGGGATATTTCTTTCGCTGACAGAATCCGCAAAGCCACGGATGGAGCAGGCGTTGATGTTGTCTTGAATTCTCTTGCTGGTGAAATGCTACAGGCAACTTGGGAATGCATTGCTCCGTTTGGGCGATTCATAGAAATTGGTAAAAAGGACATTGTACGGAATTCGAGACTTGAAATGATCCACTTCGACCGGAACGTAAGTTTTGCATCTGTTGATTTGACACTCTTGGCCAACAAACGCCCGCAGTTGATGAAAAAAGTTCTAGCTGGAGTCTTTGGGATGTTTGAAAATGGCAGTGCTAGGAGTATATCGCCAATTACGCGCTTTTCAATATCGGATTTCGAGAAGGCGTGTCATAATTTACAGACTGGCCGAAGTATCGGAAAGATTGTCATCGAAGCGGGGAAGAATGCTTGCGTCAAGGTTAGTTTAATTTGTGAATAAAATTGGTTCTCGGTGCTGATTAATGTTTGCGACAGGTTTATCCAAGAAAGAAGCAAGGAGATATTCTCTTTGCGGAAGCCTCCTACATAGTCGTGGGTGGTACGGGAGGGCTCGGACGAAATATTACGTCATGGTTAGCTGAGAAAGGGGCGCGACATATCATTGTCGTCTCACGAAGCGGTGCCTCGGATGAAAGAGTTGGGGAGATGATTAAGGATCTCGCTGCAGACGGAGCAACTGTCGTTGTATGCCAATGCGATATCAGCAAAAAAGAGGAAGTCGAAACCAAACTGGCAACAATACTACCGCAAGCGCCACCTGTGCGCGGGGTAATATATTGCGCAATGGTTCTCCGGGTATGCCGTTTTCCAATTCCCAAGCGCGTGTGCATTTTCAAGAAACCCCTAACACTTCATTCAGGACACGCTGTTCGAACGGATGACCTTTGATGACTACGACGGGGTTGTGAAACCAAAGGTTGCAGGAGTGTGGAATCTACACCATGCGCTCGTAGGATTAAGCTGTGATCTTGATTTCTTCATCACTCTCTCTTCAATTGCTAGTCTTGTCGGTAACAGGGGACAAGCTGCATATGCCGCTGGTGGCACTTTCATGACAGCTTTCGCACAATATGGAAACGCGCGTGGTTTACCTTGCACTACTATCGATCTGGCTCCCGTTCAAGGAATCGGGTATCTCGCGGAAAATCAGCAGAGGAAGAACGAAGTCGAAAACTCGCTAGTCGTGGATTGGGTTAATGAAACCCAGCTTCGAGGACTTCTTGCCGCCGCCATCAGAGGCGATATGGCCAATACCTGTCACCACCACTGCATCACCGGCCTAGGAATATTGAAATCCATCTCCGGTAAAGAGACACCGTGGTGGGCCTTGGATCCAAGGTTTTCACATCTCGTTCAGTCGTGCGCCTCTGATGAAGGCCAAACATGCGACCCCGCATCTTCTCTAGCCACAGCATCTCCCGGTCTTGCGGTGAAAAATACAGCTGATCGCGCAGACGCAGAAAGAATAGTTACGGATGCTCTTGTACAAAAAGTATCCACCATAATGATGCGGTCCGTCGACGAAATTGACCCTTCAAAACCTCTGGGCACATACGGGCTGGACTCCCTGATCACCATTGAGGTGCGCAATTGGATCTCTCGCGAGCTCCAAGCGAGCTTGCAAATCATGGAGATTCTCGTGACCAAGTCTGTGGTAGAGCTGGCGGGGCTGATATTGAAGAAATCAAAGATCGTGAGCGTGGAGGCGAAATCGCGATGGGGGCTCAGCTGAGTTCATGGAATGTTCAGGACAAGGTCTCGTCCCATGGTTCTTGCTGAGGGAAACATTTACCTGTTTTTTTTTTTTTTTTTTTTTTTTTTTTTTTTTTTTTTCTCTTTTTCCTTTTGTTTCTTTCTTCTTGAAGTTTCAAATTCTCCTTTTACCACATAATAATTTGTTAATAGCTTCATCCAATAATCACTAATCAATTTCAGGACCTCAACACACGGGAACGAGCTAACCCGAATCGAGTAAAATTGTGGAGAGCTAAAATAAGCTTAAATCAACTACACATCACACCGTAGTTTTTCGCAATGTCGTTGAGGTGGATGTGTGTGTGATGTGATGATTGCCAATGAGGCAGTGCCTATGTCAGTATAGTTAGTTCTAGTGTTGCAAAATATCTAAATGGTCATCGTGAGTCGCATAAGGAGTTGGAATCTTGCGAAATATAAACACTATTATTGTTTCATCAATTTCTTCAATAACACAAAAATGGGGCCTTATGGTTGCTGTGAGCAGCAGTTAAAAGGGTTTTACCGTATCTACAGTACTTTGTGTCACTATTAGTTATTTATACCTCTATATATGGGTACTGAATTGTTGATGTATTGTGTTTGTAATAATACGACCTATACGGGAGCATACACCCGGTCCGATTTTTCAGCGCCTCAAACCTCAACACTTCAAGCTTTCCCTCGCTACCACACAAACGTCGTCCACCAGCTCCATTGCCCCCGCTATTCTGTCTTTGCCCTTTTAAACATTACCTTCTACTGGGCTGCAAAAAATCAAGCTCGATTGCCTCCTTACGTGCCAAACTTTGCGATAGTCGCCATTTTTTTTCTTTTCTGGGCGTGACGCATCTGCTAGCCACAATGGAGGGAGAATCAACCCTTTTGACCATGGAAAGTGACGTGCCAAGTTCTTCTCACCAGGTCAAGTCATCGAGACCCGCTGTGCGATGTTTAACTTGTCGATTAAAACATGTGCGCTGTGATGGGGCCCAACCAGGTAAGGCTTCCTTCTCGTCCCATCCATTCGATCCCTATCATCATCACAGTGGTATAGAATCTTCAATATTGTTGTTTAAATGCTGATATTCATATCTATAATCCTTTGTATGAATTGGTGTAGTTTGCAGCACATGTTTGCGAAAAAATCAAACATGCGAATACCCAACTTTCGCTTTTCATCCGGCTGCAAAACCCAGTAGCGCTAAAACAAATTTGACAGGTCGTCAGCTGGCCAGTAAAACACGGACTGTAAGGGCGTGTCTCGTGTGTAGGGGTGCAAAGAGGAAATGTGATGGGGAGATGCCAGGTAATTCGTCCTCTTGTTCTGATATGCTTTTAAATTTCCACCCGTCCCTTGTTCTCCTCGGTTTTTTATTTATTTTATTTTATTTTTATTTTATATTTTTTTTGGTTTTGGTTTTGGTTTTTTTTTTTTTTTTTTTTTTTTTTTTTTTTTTTTTTTTAAATAATCTGTATAGAGAGACTGAAATTGCTACCTTTAATATGCACCCATTTTCTTCGTGGGGGAAACATGGTCCGTACGGTTACTGATCTTGACAGCATGTGAGCCCTGTTTGAAAAGAGGTATCGAGGCGAATTGTAAATACGATCATATTACCCCCCAGACATTGTAAGAGTTGTCTTTTTATATGTCCTTTACTAGATACTTAAGGATTAAGAGACGGAATAGGAAGCGTGCAGAATCGCCTTCAGACGAACGTCCACATAAACAGACCCGGATATCTCATCCTAGATCAGGCGGAAATCAAAATATTTCCCTTCCCAGCTTACGCAAGGAGCGAGTGCGTTCTCCCAGAGAGAGTCCTAGTCTACAGCTTGTTGGGGCAATTTCCAAGACATCATCTGAAGGAGATGAGTCTCAAGAAAGTGACGAAGAGGAATCGTCCAGCCAAGATGACGAAAAGGAGCCGAACGCCGGAAGCGCCAGGCGATCTATTCCTTCGGTTCAAGGTCTCCCCGTTAAAACTCAAGGTTCTAGCGACCATGGAAGTCCAGAGGCATCTGAATATGTTGGACCGTTCACTCCACAGGCTCATCCAACAACAGCCGAAAAAGCTCAAGAATCTCGGGAATCAAGTGATTCTGATGTATCTGTGGAAATGGCTGACGGAGCGGAATCCCCAAACTCTGCTGAAAGCGAACAAGAGAGAGGTGATCTCAGTCTCTTTCTTCCAGGACTCAGACAGGCTGTCTTTCAGAGAACCGGCGTTTCGAGACCAGGAAGCACGCTTGAGTCCGATCGAGAACTCAAGAGATTGAGCAAAGTCGCAAATCAGAAGGCGGAAAAAATGTTATCTCCAGATCCAGTTAATCTCATCCTTCCTCAGCGCAATGTTGCTAATGAGCTAGTCTCCCTTTACCTTACGCGGGAGTATGTCAATATGCCAATATTTCATCGGGAAGATTTCACAGACCGATACAAGTCGCTGTGGAATGAAACAGAACAGCGATGCAGTAGGACCTCGGTTTCGGGTGACTCTTGCATATTCTATGGCATCCTCAATGGCATATTTGCCATAGGAACTCTATTACGTGACCCAAACGACTTGAACGATTCCGAGCAGTACTTTCAGCGCTGCCAAAATCTGATTTTCATGAACGGAATAGAAGAAGGGGGAATCATACATGTACAGGCGTATCTCATCATGGCTCAATATTTTCTTGCAGCAAATAACCTACACGATGCATGGAAGTCCATAGGGCTTGCCATACGTGCTGCCCAGTCCCTTCATCTCCACCTTGTATCTGGAAGCCATCACTTAACTCCCAGGGAAGACCAAGAGTTACCAAGACGAGTATGGCATTGCTCGCTGACACTTGAATGGTACGTCAGGGGGGATCATCTCCATAACTCTTTTTCAATTGAACTTTCTAATGCTCTATATGCAGCATCATCGCCATGAACATGGGGATCACAACCTTAACCAAACACACCTCTGAAATTCCACTTCCTTTCCCTGCCAACAGGGACTACATCGACCGCCTCGCCTCAGAGGGCCAGGGTGACCCAGACCCCGGAATTGACCGACCCTCAATCATAGAATTCTTCAATAGTTCTGCTCGTCTCTACCATCGATACAACGCCCTCGTTCCTATTATGCAGGAACTCCAGTTGACCGACTCCGGCAGTGCTCGTAAGAAGCTTGAGGCCTTTGATCCTCAACCGCTCATTGATGCCGACCGCTCCCTCTCTAGCTGGCAAGCAGGTTTACCAACTTTCTTGCGTCCGGATGCGGACAGCAAGTCCCTAAAGTATCCCATCGCCCGTCGCCAACACAACACTTTGCGCATCCGCTATCTGCACATGCGTCTTCTGCTCTGGCAGCCACTACTGGCCATAGTTGCAGCGGCCTCTCCTGACATTGATGCCCGCGCAGGAGCACGAAGAATCACCTCACCGCAAACAAGGCGAGAAATAGCCATCGGAAAAATTGAGAGGCCCATGACACACATTATCGCTCATGAGGGCGCGGTTAAATGCATCCTTCTGGCGACAGAGATCATCAATATTTTCAACGAAATCGAGAATGGCGGTGCAGATTGCAGAAAAGGAGACCACAACCTCGCCATACCATCGTTGTGGGAGAGTATTGGATATGTGTTTGCTTGTGCTAAAGTCTTTATTGCAGCGCGCAAATGTTCCAGAGGCGTCATTGAAGACATTGGCGGCATGGAGGTAATCCGGGAAGGATGGTGGGTTAGTATTGAGTTGATGAGGAAGTATCGTCAGTTTTCGCAGGCGGCGAGCGTATGTGTGAAGGCGCTTGAAAAGCTAGATGTGTTTTCCTCTGTTGAAAGAAATGGTTTTGCTGGAGATGGTGTGAGTGTGACAAAGGATATATCATGGTTGGAGTGCTTGCCGATTGATCTGAACTCCTGAGTAAGATATAAAGGAACAGACATCCTTAGCTTTGCTTTGATGACTGGTTGGCTATATGGCTGGCACGATTTTTAGGGCCTAGCTTGCGTAAGTGATACGTACGGCTTAATGTGTTATTGGTGTATTGGCCTTGAAAATGGACGCTTCCATCTACCAACAATGGAAACTTCATAACTCTTCTTTCAAGCTTTGAGGAGGGGGGGAAAAAAAAGGGTAAAGTCACCCTCCACATCCCAAAGTCCCGCAAACCTGTTTTTTCCCCCTTAGCACAACTCTTTTAACTTTGGTAATATTGAGCTTGTTCAGTCAGAATGAATCGGTTTCTTGTTGGTCTTCACTTTGTGTATGGAGTATTCGTACTTCTCCCCCCCCCCTCTCCCCGACAAACAAACCTCCCAATTTCGGCTACGCATTTTACTTTTCGGCATATATCTCCCTTCTCCCTTTCTTTTATCTACTGATAATGACAGAATCTTCCACGGGTTGCCTCTTTTTCTCAAAACGTTCTCAGATCGTATAAAACTATATTATCTCAATCGTGAACTAAACATACTTTAACACATTTAGCCAACCATTTCAATAAGGATTCATGCCCATAACTTAGTCTAACAGTTTGTTTGGAGACCCCGGGGGAGTGGGGGGCGGGGAGTTAATGTCTTAAAACCACCTTGAAAAGACATAGCGCTCCACATATTCCATCTTCTAGAGGAGGTGGATAAAGTATACGCATAAATACGCACGACCATAAAGTTTGGAAAGAATGGGGTCAACGAATGTTAGGTATTTCTCAAATGTGCCTGAAAGGATAAATGATATACAGGGTATCAACCAGTTAGAATCAGAAGGGCAAAACTGCGAAGCGGGGGAAATCAGGGATGGCTCAAAGAAAGGAAAACTCTGGGGAGAAAACAGCAGATACGGCATATCTTAACGTACCCGTTATCCTCTGGGTATAGAGAAGAGAAGAGCAAAAGATCACATCGCGATCCCGATGCCCTTTGCGCCTCCCATATTAAGCGGCGAGAATAAAACGAAAAGTCAGTGAAAGAGAAGAAAATCAAATCAAACGAGCCAATGCTAAAAACCGCAAAAGTGCCAGATGCTAAAATGAAGTGCGAAAAGAGATGCACGTTATATACAAAAATTAAATTAAATTAACTACAAAATAGCAATATTCAAAGAGATAACCAGTTAGAAGTTTCTATTTGCATATGAGATATTTCAATCATGAACATAGAAAAATCCATACAGACCATATAACATAGAGCATATACGCCAGACACCTCCCTCACTCTTCCCCCCCTTCTAGTCAAAGCCACATCACACCAACGACCACTGCTATAACCATACCCAATAAACTGCCCCGTATCTCCTTTTCGCGGGATGTGATTCTCATTCTTGTTGCGCTCGCGGAATCTAGCGGTGGATGTGAGATACTAGAGCGAGAAAGTCTGTCTGGATACGGATGGCTATGCTGTTCTAGAGGTACGAGAAGGAGACTGAGGAGATTGAGAGGAGGGTTCCTTTGCGGCTTAGGTGAAGTGAACAAAGTGCTGTTTGGATTGCTGGAGTCGATTCGCGTAGAAGGAATGGAGGAAGCGTTGTTCGACTTGTACAGAGGATAGAGTTGATCTTGCCCTTGGCTGGATGGATAGACGGGCCGTGGGGCACTTTTGATATCTGGAGAGGAGAAACGGTCTGCCGTCGATGGGTTGGAGAGTGGATTTGAGTTGAGTGATGTTTCTAGAGGGGTTGACGGGTTTGGATTATTATTGGTGTCGCTACCGCTGTTAACACTGTTGAAATTGATATGTTGCGGTGGATTTGTCCGTGTATTTTGGGAAGGATTTTCTGATCGAGGGACTTTGGTGTATGGAAGTGAGTGCTCTTTTTGTTTCTGGTGTTCGGTGCGCCAGCGGTTGTAGGGGTATATTAAAGAGTTCAACAAGGTATTGGGCGTGAGTATGTTTTCGATTCTCCACATGCTGGAGAGGGTGACGGCACGGAATACATTGATTTCGAGCGCATTGGACATCCAGAGCTGCTGATGAACCGATTCCTTTGTCAGCCACAACTCATCACCATGGATGTCGTGGTGATATTGGTGTGAAATGGCTGGACAAGATTCTAAAGAGAATTGATGTTAATGGGAGCAACATTGACTACTTCCAAAAAAAAAAATTAAAAACTAAAAATTAACGCACCTTGCAGGTCATCAGCGAGGAAATGGAGCGTCGCAGCATATTGTCTAGAGAGCGTATCCTTCCATTGGATCCTGAAGGGCGCCGGCAGCAATTGCAGGAGACAGAAAACGAGTGTAACGGCCAATACGAAGAGACTTGCTCCCACAATTTTCAACGTCATCATGAAGCTCCCTTTAACTACGCCATCCCACCAAAGACGAGAGACGGGGTTTGAGACTTGAAATTCGTAAAACGGGGTGATATGGTGGCTACCCTCAACAAGCTGACCACAACCTCCATGCTGATAGTGGGATAGAGTATAAAAGAAATGCAGGTTTTCCTTTTCCTTTTTTACTATTTTTCATTTTTTTTCCCTTCAATATTTTCAACATTTTCACCCCGTCGCAATCACACTGAGCGTAGTCGTGAGCAGAAATGGGTTTGACAGGAACTGCACATGGCTCCACAGGGAACAGAGTGTACAGATTTCTCCCAATCAGCGCCAGACAATTGAAAGGAACATCTAGCTAGCTACCCGAGGTGGAGCTGTCTTGCATTGACCTGCACTGGACGTGGTTGTTGAGTGGGTTCGGAGCTTACTTGATGGTGGAAAAGATGCAGCTTGAGGCTTAGATGTTTCATGAAGGGGGCTTAAGTAGTTAACTACGGAAGTGGTTTAACTAACTAATATTATTCTTTTACGAGTCTCTACTGTATAAGTTTGATTGAATCGCTCTCTGATGTATCCTGTTATTCCATTCTGCTTTATTTCGCCCTGTTCTTTAAAAAATAAATAAAATAAAATAAAAACAAAAACCGCATAGTCCGTTTATTTGTATTTCTGCTTTCTCAAAACCGGTTTTTGAGTCCAAATCACAGTTTTGTTCAAGTCAAGGTTATCCATGTCTACGCTGCGGAGCGTCAGGCATGTTGAGCGCTCGGCGAGTTGAGCAGGTAAGATCTCCAAGAAAAGAGTTAGCAGTGAGACATTAGTGCGGTATTTAATTTAAATGTAGTTAACTAACGAACTACACATTTCTCTCATTAACCAGTTGTTCAAGCTGGATTATGTACTCTGCAGGGTCCCCCTTACAAATTTAGAATACAGAGTTCTCCGGACTTCAGTATTACCCGTCAATTGGGGGATTTTGTGTTTGTAGAAAAGAGTAGAATCGAGGTATTCTTAAAATATTTCGCTCATTTCATTTCATTTTTCCTGATTTTGACACGCGTGGCTCATCGACAACCAGGCTTCTCGTATCAAGATAGAACCTTCAGCCGTACAGAGGAAACAAAAGCAGATTCATAGTAATACATATCAACCATGACCCGTTTTACACGAACGGACCGGAAGATAGTCATGGTCGGAAAGAAAATTAAAATCAGAATCATCCTTATATATCAGTGTTCAGATTGCAATCACACATTCCAAATCCTGCCATTGTTCAATGATAAATTGTATATATGTACGGCGCACGAGGTTTCCTACATAAATCATCCAAAACAAGGCATAGGGGTAATAGATATCACATCAGGGGAAATACGTTTACCTGACGCATCGTCACCAAGTCACCCTTCCTCCCTGCTAGCTCCTCATATTTTGGATCGCTGTTGTGCCTGTGTTTTGAAGACTTTAACTAGCTGTCGTACTGAGAGATCAAGCAAAACATCCTCTGAACCCCCGGGAATGCGGGCACCGGGAACTTCGCGATATATACCTGAAAAGAGATGTTAGTAATCCATTAAACAAGGAGGAACAAATTAACACAAAATAAATATAAGTGCAAAATGGAAAAAAGAACACTTACGCTCAGCAATCTCTCCCTGTCCAGTTCTTGTTAAGCCACTGCCTCCAAATAGCAGCACGGCAACCTGCGCACACTCATTCAGGACCATACCAGCCTTCGCTTTAGCGAGCGCTGTCAGTCCTCCCAGCCGGAAATCGGCCTGCTCCTTGGACATATTATTCAGCTGGTACAAGAACTGCTCAACCCACGCCCACATAGCCTCCAGTTCAGCACCGGCCTTTGCAAGGCGATGTCGAACGACAGGCTGATCCATCAACGTCTTTCCGAAAGCTTCGCGCTTCAGACAATACTCGAAAACAGCACTGAGGGCTACACGAGCCTGGCGAGTCACCGCGATGGTGATGGTAAGGCGCTCGTGGTTGAAGTTGGTCATGATGTATTTCATTCCCATGCCTTCTTGGCCAATGAGGTTCTCGACGGGGACTTTGACATCGTCGAGCTCGATGAAAGTGGTGCCGCTGCAGGCTTGGCCGGTAACTGACAATCGGCGCATGGTTACCCCAGGATAATTTTTCAATGGGACAACCATGATGGATAGGCCACTCGGACCTGGGCCGCCAGTTCGCACGGCCATAGTGGTGTAGTCTGCCCAGATTCCATTTGTGATCCTGAAAATATGGATGTCATTCAATATCCTGATATGTGCAATCGTCGATTGAAGGTCTGTCCCAAAGCTGTCACGATCTGGTTGACTTGACGAGACCATGCATACCATTTCTTGGAACCGTTGATGATATAGTGTTTCCCATCAACGCTTTTCGTGGCCTTCGTTGTGATGTTGGCAACGTCGCTTCCAGCGTCAGGCTCCGTGATGGCAATACAGATCGTTTCTTACAGGTCAAGAGATCGGGCAGGAATCGTTCCTGGAGCTCAGGGCTGCCGAATTTGAGAATTGGTGGAATACCGTATGCCATTCCAGCACTAAGAGAGCTCGAAGGACCAGTCAATCCTGAACGGCGCATCTACAATAGCTCAGTATTAGCAAACACCAGTATGAAACACTTAATCGCAATTCCATAGTGTTAGGTTTTTACCTCATCTAAATAGATTCCAGTATATATCAAGTCCCAATCCTCCACTTTAACCCCAAGGATATCATTAATGCCAAGTTTCTTTAGCCACACGACGGGTAGAGGAGAAGGTAAATTGGGAACCAGCATATTATGTTTCGCGAATGTGTACCAGACATGCTCTGGTACGGTACCCTCGCGCTCCCACTCAAAGGCATGGGACGTCAAATTTTCCCACATAAATACGTGGCATGCCTTCTGAAATGTCCGGTGGGCTTCAGTATAGTACGGAGAAGGGAGACCGCAAAGGTATGGGGGTTCCGAGAACGGAATAGGGTTCACAGAGTTAGTCGCCATGACTATAAATACGACAGAACAGAAAGATAGGATGTCTTATTTTCAGATATGCACACGGAAAGGTCAAATAGTTTCTTATTGGGTTGGTGAGAGCGAGACATAGACCCTCTTAAGAAGGTCCCGCTTTGCTGAACGGGGATGCGGGGAGGCGAGGTAACCCAGCACAGAGCTAATACTCGGACCTCCACGAACTGTAAGCTCTTCTTATTTGCTCTCATTGTAGAAGGCCATCTTGCCGGCCTAGCAGAGCCGAGCTTGACCGGGCATCTTGTTGACAGCTCTCAGATACCTCGGGATAAGATCTCGGCCCACTTTGACAGCTACGGCTGGTTGGAAGCTGAAGCGGTCATGAAGCCGAAGTCTTGGAATGTCGTTCGCAAATGCCCATCCGAGTTAGCGCGGTTCAGCTTGCATTCTTAACTACCGCAGTAATCGGTCAGTCAACCGATAATGTTTACATAACTCTATGGAGACTGCATTGATGCTTTGGAAATTTGTTATCTCATGAATAAAACGCTCCTCCAACGGTGAACCTACCCGTAAATTGAACACAAAGAACTTGTTGTGTATCACTGGCAGACGATTGACATCAAAGGATATATGAATATCCAATTTAAAGAACCGGAGGATCATTAAGCTCAGGAGTTGTCATTTGGGGTTTTCAAATGTACTAGTGTTGGGGAGGGATAAGAGGATTTAATAAGCACAGGCGAAGGCAAAAACGGTGTCCTAATCTGAGTGTTGTAAAAGCAGCTAGTGAGTAGATCTGATAGTTAGGTATGGCTGGAACAATCTGGTGGAGGATGTTGTCCACAGAATTGCCAACTGTTTTAAGGATCTCGGATCGGGTTGACCGGTCATGGCTGTCCGTTGCTACAAGGCGAAAGTTGCAAGCCCAAAGTCCAATTATCTGAAATGAAATCCGGATATCACTGAAGGAGAATTCAATCAACCAAATAGGATAGCCCAAAAAAATGTAATAACTCAATAAAACTTGTGAGGAAAACTGCTGAGAAAACCTTCCTAAGGTGATCGAAAACCAATATGAAGGCAAAGACGCATGTGTAGATGAGCAAACCTCAGAATCAGATGCAGAAAACTAAAGCAAAATGAAGAACAGCGCCAAATCCCTCTTTCGTAGAGAACTCCTGTGAAAGAAATGACTGGTGAAAACTGGAAACCCCTCCGGGATTGCCATTGATACCAAAAAATCGAGAAGGTTTTCAGAGGAAGATGTAAATAAATTTTGTAAGCCAGAGGGTAAGGGTATATATGCTACCTGGGTATGTATGTACAACACATAGGGCATGGAGCGGGAGCAAGAATAGTCCAAATATGTCCAAGTTGAATTTAAGTCATTAAAGCCTTGCAAAGTTCAAAAGCAAAGAACGAAACCACTATGGTGCGTGACATCAGATTGGATTCGTCATGGTAGGAGGGGACATGACTGAAGAATATGCGCTTGATGGAGGCACTTTAGTCGGGCTTCCTCGAGTGGTTGGAGTTCGTTGGTGGTGCTGCCGCTGGTAATAATATTGCTGTTGCTGGGGTTGCTGAAGGGTTCCGCTGGTGTCCTGCTGATGGGTCCTTGGGGTACTACCACCTGGTGTGCTGCTTCCACCCCCGCTACTCGTCTTGCCTCCGCGTTTGACCATTTTGCCCAAGATGCCCACTAACTCAGCGGCGTCTTCAAAACTCTCGTCGTCCATACCCTCTTGCGCATTGTAGACGTCCGCGATGGCCTGTTTGGCCAGACGTCTACAACCGTCGGAGTCGTGGAGGCAATCGTACAGGTACGCTGCATATTCAAGCTTGACTGACAGCCTAACCGGATGTGAACCTGGGAGGAGAGTATCTGCCAGTTGCGCTACATCACTGAAACAAGCTGTAGCTATTGGGGTGTAATCCAGACTTGGAAGTATGAATGAAGAGGCGGATTTAGGGGGCTTAACGGCTGGTAGGCCAGGAGGGCGAAGGTTTGTTCCGCCAACGGGACCTCCTTCTGGTGCGACAAGAGTTGGCGAGGCGGTGATGGAATCTCGATTTGGGATCGGGGACGACTTTGAGTCTCCTCTTACGCCATTGCCATTGTCAATCGTGTCATGTCCATTCGCAACATGTAGCGGTGAGCTAGATGTCGGTAGGCTTCGAATACCTGAGACGTGGATACTTGGCTGATTATGGAAAAGGACGAAAATATGGTAAAAGGATGCTCTGAGCTTATGGGCCAGGACTTTCAGTTCGACATAAGCCTCAACCATGGGGAGCACGTATTGTTCCGTTATCACCAATCCTTCACGGGAAAGCCATATTATGTGGTGGTAGAGTTGTAACGATTTGGTTTCTCTCGTAGGATCAAGCCGGCGGCGCTTACGAGCGCGAAGGAGTTTCTTCGACAGTATTACGGAAAGACCAAGGAGTTTGTAAAGCATACCAGAGAGATAGGCATTTTCGTGACCTGTGCTGGCTGCAAAGAAGCCCAAAAACTTTTGGTCAACTTCGGAGGATGCCATCCAAATAGCAGAAAGTGGAGTACTGTCTAAGTGATCCCGCTGAGGAGGTAAAAGGGTGATCAGTTCTTGTGTATCTTCGCAGTGGTCGAGTGTATGAAAATTGTTTTCAACTGCAATATGGTCCATAGCTTCTGTGCTCATTGAAGAAACGATGGAAAGGGAGCAAAACGATGGCGCTAAAAAGGTGATAAGGTCAAACAAGACGGAAAGCAGTTGGATGAAATAGTGCAACTGAATATTCCAAAGCCAATAAATAGAATTCTTGATTAATCATCGTGGTAGACGAAATATACAGAGTCCACAGCCCCCAAACTCCGGCGGCAAGCAGAAGATAGTTGAAACCAATAACGGTTACAGAGTAAAAACTGGTGCGCTTACCTGTCTCCAAAAAACTATCAATTCAATACCGGCGCCAATATTAAAAAAATTATACTCCAATTCGTGACAAATACTATTTTCTTGCGGGTTTCAAAGTAGCCGCCGTTAGAATTAACAGCGTAAGGGGCGCTTTTGGATGGGGACCAAATATTTTACCGCCAAATAATCAAAGTTCGAGGCCAGTGCTCAAGGGTGGGTGCGTCCCAAACCGAAACTGAACTGTCCTGCTCGATAAACGGATAAAAGTGGTTGTACAGTGCGTGATAAGGAGGCCCAGACAGAGAACTGATTGCTGTTAAAGTTGATTGTAGGAAAGCGTAAAAGTTGTTGAGTTTGATTCACTGCCGTTGAGGCTAGAGACAACAACCTCATAAAGAAACGATGTTTATGAAGGTGTAATATCGTTCAGGTGATGTCAAAACGTGCTCAAATACCTGTGTCGACTGTGAAGTATCAAAATGATAGCGCTGGGTTCTTTTGTTGCACAGTACCAGGAGAAAACCGAAGAGAGAGAATAATGTACAAAACTCTGGGGCTGAAACAGAGATGGCTGGGAGCTCAGCGCGATCTGTCAGCTTCCAATGCGATAGATATATAACCAGTTAGTAGTTGTCTTGAGGGATAACAGCCCAATGACATAAAGTAGGGCGGCTATATAACGGCTATTCGTCAGAAACGTCGAAAGTTCAACCAATGACACGATTGAGGTTCGAAAAGCTGGGAACAACGAACGCAAAAGCAGAACAAGAGGTCGTGGCTGTATGGCAGGATAAATTCGCGATTCATTGTTTGCAATTGGGCATGAGACGGTGTTAGATTTGGGTGCTGCCAACACCGAGCGACGGGCAGGAGATGACCAGCGGCTGAACTTGACAAAACTAGAGCATCAAAACAAAGTGCAGCATACAACGAAAGAAAAACATGGCAATTGAAACGGGAGAAAATCAGAAGAGAATTTGGACAGAGTCAGAGGGCCCATAATCCCCCCCAGAAAACCCCAAACAAAGAAAGTCCGCCCGCAAATATTTTCTGTGGGTGTGGAGGTAGGGATCCCCTAAAACAAAAAAAAAAAAGAAGGAGAAAAAAAAAAGAAGCCCCCCCCACCCCCTT